TTGATCTTCTAAATATAAAATTAAACTATACTTTGGATATATTTGTTTAAAGCCCTATCCTATTTTTGATTTTTTTTTTCCAAAGTTTCATAGTATGATTAATTATTTTAATTCCTTTATAATTTGAATAATTTTATATGTTATTTTTATTTTTATAAATTGACACTAAGAAACTCTTTCTCTATTCATCAAACATTTTTTTGAATTTCATGATTTTGTTAAATAAACTAGTTATCTAAACTACTTCTCTATCCTTTAAATTTTTTTAGACCTTAATAGGGATATAATTAGGCCCCATGCTCTTAGCTAATTTTATCTTCTTAATATACGTTTTACTTCACTAGCTCTAAATTTATTAACAAATTTATGTTTATTAAATCTATCATATTATTTATCATTAAATCTAAGTCCTATATGAAATATTTATTAAATAATTTATAAAAATAATTTTTTAATCTCTTCTTAGTCTCGGTATCATTAACAAAATATTCTTTGATCTTCATCTTTAATAATATTTCTAAATTTTTATACTTTTTTCTAGCTTTAGTAACTCGATATATATCTTTTTCATCGTCTTTAGCACCTAATTTATTATAAAAATTATTATAAACTTTATATCTTGCCTACTAATTATTATTTTAGTCTCTTTTTTAGATTCTATATATTTTTATTTTTATAATTTTGTCAATCTTTTAAAAATATTAATGTTAGTTAAAATTTAAATAACTCTATAGAATGATGAAATGATATTTAGTTAATAAAAAACATCTTTTTTTTTCTTTCTTTTTGTAGGGATTCATATGCTAAACTTAAATTTAGAGTGATGAATGCAAAAAATCCCTGATTTATTATAAACATTAGAAGAGAGCCTTTTTTTAACTCATGTTTATTAAAACCAGTGGTAGCCTTTTCAGTGGCATACATAAATTATTGCAACTTGTTTGGTATGTAGAGGCTCTTCAATCTAAGCACCTATTACAACAAACTTCCCAACACTCCCTTGATGTTGGGAACCCATTGGAATTTGGAATCTCAAACAACAAGTGGAACCATTTGACTAAAGAAAGAAAAGATTCATAGGAGACATTAAACTATCATCATTGGTTGATGATGGCCCCAAGAAGAGAACAAGAGGGAAGTCTTGCAAGTGAGGATGGGAGAGACCTAACGGATTGATGCCTTTGTTATACTCTACACCTCCCCATGAAGAACTTTAGCCACCACCCTTCTACTAATACGTGTTATGCTTGAAGAAAACTAAGGGGATAATCCATCTTATACTTTAGCTCGGCAAGATCACTGCATACTTGAGATCACATGCATAGGGTACAAATCTTGATTATGTTGATAATTAATAAGAATGCAAGATGGAATATGAAAGATGAATACTACATTGCCACATGTTCTTAGGTTTGGTAAATATGCAATACATCAAACTCAATATATGAAGCCAATCTAGTCCATGGTATATTGTTTGAAGGTCTCCGTCGACTAGACTTGTAAACTTTGGATCCAAATCTCACAAGAACATCAACAATTGAACCCATAATTACCTGTTGATTACCCCAAAAAAAAAGGTACTTTTTTTGTTGCAAACATCCACATTTGCAAGACTAGAGATCTATAAATATGATTTTATTCAAATATATTGTTGTTTCGTAGGCTTATTTGTGGAACAAATTTTTATTAAAACAATGTTGACAACAATGAGATGTTTGGTGATTTTTTTTTTTGGTCCAAGGTGAGGAAATGGGTGGAATAGGCCCACTCACCAAACAAGTAAAAGGTCTGTGGCCCACTGCAGTGCATGTCTCAAGCTGCTTATTGTTGTCAACAAGTGATGAAATCCAAACTTTTTAGATTAATACTTCAATGTCCTAAATGCATGTTTATAGATTATATTTCAAATTTTTAATATTTGATAAGTGAGTTATAGACTAATGTTTGTGTAAAATTTATTTGATGATGTCTCAAGCCATCAATTTTTAGCAAGAGGATTTGGCACAGTACAGTATCACCAGGGCAATAATTTAGATCAGTTCATAAGAAGCTTTTATGTATGCATCTAAAGATGTAGGAAGGCCTTAAGTCGATGCTTCATATCAGAAAACCTTCTGCTATGTATGAGAGTAGCTGCTTGGTGCTGGGCAGCATAGGGAGTGGATTTTATATGAGAATTATAGTTGACTTATGTCCCAAAGTCAACACTCTAGCTTGTGCTTTCTTGTGCCATCAACTTGTCAAGGAGTTCTATAGCAAACCCCAATCTGTGCTTATCTGAGATGGTTCAGACAGAGATCGACAGCTTTGTATGTGAAGCATCAGAGACTTCTTCCCTTTTCTCCTCGCCATTGCTCTCTGCAACTCGATCTACCTTCTGTGACTGTCAAGAGACAGCACTCAATGCAGTGCCTAATTCAAGAAAGGTTTATGCTCGCCCAACGGCAGTGCACTGCACCAAAAAGATTGCGAGGCACAGGGAAAGGTCCTCAGAGACTATGATGCAAACCAATGCCGCCCATTCACAGGAGAGAAGGCACGCGAGGCTTTACTGGTGTGCGTGTTCTCGGTGCACTGCCTCCCCATCATTGCGGCCGTGGACCGCGTCTTTTAGGGTTGTCAGCAGATCCGTGTCGGGTGCTTGCCGCACACATGATAGTGGCACACGAGCCTTTGAGTCGAAGGCAATAAGTCGAACACTTGCTGCCTGCCTTGGACAGTAGTAACATGGCAAGTAGATTGATGTTCTCTTCTTTGCCAACTTTTACTGCAAGCAGACAGGAAAGGAGTTGCTGAGATGGTGTTACGAGGTTACACATCTTTGTTTAGTGTCTTGTTACACGTAGATGACATATATATCTCACTGAATTAAATTAGTAGAGAGGATTTATTTGTAAGTTGAATTGCAATCACTCGCGTCGCGTCGCGTCTTAAAGGAACAATCTTATTTATGATGTTAAGCTTCACTTCAATTAATATGGTGAGCTCTCAGTCAAATATTCATGTTCAACATGCACTTGAACCCAAAATATTCATATGCTAATATCTTAGGTTATGCTTTTCATTATGAGAGGCAGCTATAAATTGAGAAACTAGTGTTAAAATCTTGGGTGCAAGATACATCATATCTTCCAAATTTCAATGCCTAGTTAAAATATATCTATTGTCACTAAATGCACAAATAGCTTTGAATAATTGAGGCATTTGACACAAAGATATGTAGCTAGTGAACTCCTCTGTGTTGTATGCATCATTTTAAGTAGGTCTAACTTGATGACCACTTGGAAATGGAAGAATTATGAGCTGCAGCTGCAAACCAAAAAGGATGGCATTATGTTACAGAATTTAGACAGCATTTGCATTCATTTGGGTAATACTCGAAGACTATTCCACCACCTGCAATATCACTGTTGAGTTTAGACATAGAGGGAAGCTCTGAGACATCAACAAGCAATATTACATAACAGGAGATGCATTCTTTGAGAATATCACAAGATTAAAAGGACCTGGAGCATAAGCAACTACTTTCCACACCTACAAATCTAAGATTTTTGGTGAATTCTTAACCTTCCACATGTCCCCTTAATCTCCCTCCCGTTTAAATACAAATTTCGTTTTGTTAGCCAAAATGTGATCATATGAGAGCTATTATGGCTCCTTGCACAGCCCACAACTCGTTTGAGCAGCTCATAGTTTCATGTCACTATGTTCTGAGATGTTTGAGAAGCTTTAGTTGGAATCACCGGAGTACAGGACCAAGCGAGAAAATTTAGATTGTTTCTTACCCAACTTTTCTAGTACTAGAAATCAAGATGGAAGCAGTTAAACTTAGTCTCACATTACATTGTTCATACATATGGATGTGTTGGACTTGAGAAACAATGGTGATTCAGAAGATGCTCTTCCAGATGAATTCCAAAATTGAGCAGATTAAAGTGTCTGGGATGAGAAAAATGACCTCAACTATTTGTCATAATCAGGGATGGAAGGGATCTCAAGCTGAAAAGGAATCCAACCATCTCGAAAGGTGGACAAATATATATCAACCCAAACAAGTGATTCAGAACTTTGGAAGTTGTCATAGTGTTGGCTCACAGTATCCAACATGTTCACCTGGGCGAGAACTGTCAAGTCCCTTTCCTTGCATTGATCGGTCAAGATTAGATGACATAAACACTGACCTATTTACCTGCATTCAAGCATTCCTATAGTGAGCCTTTTCTACTTGTCTTGGTGCCGTGAACATTTATTTTCTAGGGCTGCACTGTTGATCCTGACAAAACTAAACTGGCACCGACACAGGCCATGATGCATGTCCTTCATCACGAAGTTGAACGCATCATCCAAACCATTTTCATAATGATCTCTCCATTGACATGCCAAGGAACCATGTCATTAAGCCTTTGTGCCACAAATGATGATCAAAATATTTATGAGTTCTTGGATCTGCTTCTTTACATTCTCGACATGCCTCCACACTCCTTGAGCCTCTTTTGTTTCTAGTCATCATTCAAATTCCAAACTTTTGCCATCCATGAATCTTGTGTACTTCCCAAGTGTTGTGTGACTGCTGAGATATGAACAGAGCTCATGGGTTTGAGATGGTACATCTGGTTGACTGTCTGATATCTTTCCTTTGACTATGTTCCAACATCCAATTCCAGGCAAACTCCTCCAGACTCCAGACAAGAAGGTAAAAAGATCATAAGATTCCATGTGTTTCAGGTAAAAGGAGAGAAGAAAAAGGTTATGTGGGCTGGCAGTTGGAACAATGAGTGTAGAAATGGTTGGCAGTGTGTCAGTAGAAGATTTCTCCTTGAAAGCTTGGTGTGGAAGAGAAGCACCTTGCTCCCTGAAAAGCAATAGAATAATAATAAGATACAGTAGGATAAGCTCTCTCACAGTCTCACTTTCGAACCACCTAATGCATGCTATAAGATCTTGGATGCCTCAGCTTGGATTAATTTAACCTTGGCTTTTGGAAAGCATAAATTACTGAGAGCAGTTGGCAGTGGTTAACCTCCCCTCTTTAACAAAAGCACTTCACCTCTCTGCGAGTGTGGCAAGCACCACTCTTTTATCTTTTCACCCTGTTCCTGCTTGTTGGTAACTTGCAGCTATCCTCAGTTCCTGTTTTATGCTGCTTCATGTCCTTTCATCTTCATGAGCACCCAGTCTCTCACCCTCACAGCAAAATCCAGCCTTGTTTGCTTAGCATAAGGCAGTCGGATTGAAACTAGTTAGGATGTCCACTGGATGAAGTATGTGGTCATAGGATTTAAAGGTTGGGGTATTCATAAGCTTTGGCAGAGTGACCACATCTTCCATTTCTTTGGTGGTCGAAGACATTTCCTCTGATGCTTATACAGGTAAGCTTCTGTTTCCAGTCATATTCACTTTTTCATCTGCAGGATTTTGGTAGTTTTTGAGATAACTATCTATCAAACAATAGTTTCTTTAGGAATTCAGCAGAATTGATTCTTTGATGACTGTTTCCATACAGATCCCTTGCTAGGAAATAGTCAAAGACTTCCTCTACTGTCCTTTTCTAGTTGCAGGTAAGTTTCAAAATTATTTGCTACTGTCCCTTTCACAAATCCAGTTTAGTTATTCAGGTCTGTCTTCTTCAAAAGGAAAAGGGGTTGATGCCTCAGTGGTGTTTCACTTGAGCCAAAAGAAAAAAAGAAGCATTAAATGTTGTGAGAATTTTACTACATGTCATTATTATGTTTTCCCTTATGATCATTTCTAAACCTTAGAGAGACCTCTTCTTTTTTCCTAGTTAAAAATCACCTTTTGGTTCAAGTGGAAGTATTAACTTAGATTGCTTGTCTGGTTAAAGATTCATGATAAATGGTTACGAATGCTTGAAATTATGTTGAAGAACTTGAAATTAGAGAGACAAACAAAAAAAAGGAAAGAAAGAAAGGAGGAAGCATTGCTTTCTTACCAATATACAGATCACTTAGTGGCCAGAGAAATCTGCTGTATGTCTCCTTTATACTCTGATAAAAGTTTAGCTTTCTGGCTTGTGGCAAACTGAAATAGAATATATGTTGTGATCTTATGGCCATTAAGTAATCCAGCTGGTGTATGGTAGATTTCATGACTTGACATGTGCTTCCTCTTTCCTATTTGTTGTGTCTAGGATTCTTCTGCTGAGGAGCTACTTTTGCTTTTTTACCTCTTGATGTAAAGCTGTCAAGGGCAATTGTTCCTTGTTGAGTCCTGCAAGAAATTATCAGTCAGCATTCATCCAACTCTTTAGCTAAAGAAAAAGCTACTTGTGTTTCCCACAGTATTTGCCTTGAACTTGAAGTCTTCATATCGAGTAGTTTCTTCCCCAGCAGGAGAGAATTCCGGTTGTTCTCTAATGTATTCAGCTAAACAATCTGAGGATGTTGTTGGAAGATCGACGAAATCTGCTTTGATGGCTCATAGTGCTGCTGCAAGAGTTGCCGAAGAGTCCTCAAGGAACACTTGGGATCCCATCGATTATTCCTACAACATTAGCTTACCTCAAGACCAAGAAACAAACGGTTTGGTTGCTGGTGGCATGAGTGCTTCTTGTTTATCTGAAAGATACCAGCTTGGAAGTGCTCCCTTCCCTCCACATAAAGCTGTGATTTCCAAGCACAGCATCGAGACTAACATCAAGGGGAACAAGAGGAAAGGTCAAGCCGAATGTGGTGCGTTACCTTCCCAATCTCCAGAGGATAGAGCTCAAGTAAGCTGATTTCTATTTCTCTTCTCTGTATATAACTGGCTACATATTAACTCTCGAAGTTTACTTACCGCTTCTTATCTCCCTCTTGAATTCTATCAGAATGTCAAGGCTGAAGAACAGTATGATGTTTCACTTAAGTCTTCTTCCAAGCATCCAACAGCGAACGACGAAAAGAAGCGGAAGAATGAAGTGAGACTAGGCAGCAACAATCAAAGTCCAGCTTCGAAGGATGATTACATTCATGTCAGGGCCAAGCGAGGCCAGGCAACCAATAGTCACAGCCTTGCAGAAAGAGTAGGTCTCCTCTTCTGAAACATGTTTCTGCATTGTCGTTCTCAGTTCCTCTTAGTTCAACTTGCTTAATCTGCAGATTAGGAGGGAAAAGATTAGTGAACGAATGAAACTTCTTCAAGATCTTGTTCCAGGATGCAGCAAGGTAATTGATTCTTTGGAAAGACACACATCTTTCTTCCTATAATGTTACTTGTAGTCAACTGCTTCGTTCTGATGTTGCAGATAAATGGCAAGGCCATGATGCTTGATGAGATAATCAACTACGTGCAGTCATTGCAACGCCAGGTTGAGGTATCTCCTGAATCATTCAGCTTTTGCTCTCTGAATTCAGAGGAAATCACTCATCTCCTTTCTTCTATCTGCTGTTACTAATCCTTGTTTGAATATATTTTACCTCGTTGGAATTCGCAGTTCCTCTCGATGAAACTTGCAGCGGTCAATCCAGAACTGAACTTTGATCTCGAGCAAATTCTTTCTGGAGATGTAAGCGAAACATGAATCATGGAAGCTCGCAAACTTGCAATCTGTCTGAAAGATTCTTTCTAATGTTTGTCGCATCCTGTCCTTTTAGATCCATTCATGCTATGGAGGTTCGGCTGTTCCTGCAATTGGTCCAGGAATGAGCAGTTTCCAACCTCAGTTATATGGATCGACATTTCAAAGAATCACTCAACCTGAAATGTTCTACAGTGCTCCCAGTTCAGGGGATCTGCTGCAGGCCTCCCTCTCACAGATCTCTAACATGTCTCAGGTAAATCTGAATTCATTTCTCTGCAGAACTTGCATGCTTATGTTTCCATTTGCTCCGCTGACTAGATGTTTGGCAACAGTTACCGATTGCATGGCACAATGATCTCCAGAATACATTACCGATGAATTCCATCCCTAATGAGACTCCCACAGAGCGCAATGGCATCAATCCATTCTGAACTGGTAAGTTCAGCTCATGGAAGTCTGTCTGATGGTATAGAATCCATGAAGGACAAGCTATGATCAGTACACTGAACTGTAGAACTGGTATCCTTCCAGCTAAGATGTACAAGAATGTAGCGCCTGCTTGAAGAATCTTTTGAAAGATTTCATGTGCTTTTGGATCATGAAGAATGCCATATGTGTAGAATAGCATCACCAGTTCTGACCTTCTTCATCACCCCTTTCTGGATGAATACATCACATGATACATGAAGGCTGAGACTTGCTTCTGATTTCTGATTGGTGTCAAATTGATGGTGTGAGCTAATTGTAACAGTTGAAATGGAATATACAGTACCTGAAAGAGGGTTTGCAGCATGTGAGAAACCTGAAAAATCAGATGTCTGATTTCTTACTTGCCCAAAAAAAATGATATTTCTATTCTCTAAGATGATTTTCAACTCCAAAAGCAAAATTTCACTTCATATCACCTGGAAAAAACATGAAAACGATTCTTAATACTCTTCGATTGCTCAAGTTTTTGTATCACAAGTATAATTTCAAGTGTAAATCTCAGTTGGGATGCTCTCTTGTTTCTGTTTCTAACTCAAATAGAAACAAGGTGAAAATATCCACTTCTTAGCACCAAAAAAGAAAGGGATCGAGTCTACATAGGCAATTACAAGTATCCTTTGCTTTGTCAAAGTCTAGGAAAGAATCCATAGGTGCTATAACCTCATCAATCCTGCCACAGATAAATAACCTGAAAAGGGTAGCTACTCGGAGCTTGTGCACATCTCAGTCTACTGATTAAACCTAAAATAAGAAGACATGGAGCTAATGCTGTATATCATATCATCTTGCGGCTTAATTGGAGATTATCAAATTGATTCTGTTGTTGACCTATGGAAAAGCAACAGCAAAATCTATGTACCCGTACAATATAAAGACCTTAAGATTAATCCTTCAATTGACATATGTTAGCACTTAATAGAAGAAAAAGAGAAAGAAAACATTGATATTAAACTGACCCTCATTAATCTCTTTGCGATTGTATACAGCAACGTCACTTCAGTTTGCATCTATTATGTTTTTCTCGAGTGTTGGAGTCACTAGCATTGAGAGACACAAATGAGGTCAAATGGTGCCAACAATCCTGCGTATCTCTCTCTCTCTCTCTCTCTCTCACACACACACACACAATGAGGACTACAGAGAAGTCACTGAGACACCAAATTACTCGCAAGGAACAATTGATCCTCAGCAGTGCAAGAGCACAGTCCATCACACCAATGTCTAATCAAGCTGATACCTGCATGCACTGTGCTACAGCAATTCTATGGTTGGTGATACTGTATGGGTGTGCTCTCTCACATAATCTGTACTAATCTCCACTGTATCTTCCTCACAAGTCGCAGGCCGTACTAACTTCCAACTAATTCATTGAATCTCCAAGTGTTTTTGTGAGACTATCATAAGTAAAGACAACATCAAAGGTCCAAACTGCAACTATACCTATCAATCAAAGTTCGATTGTTATTATTTATAATCAGCATTAACTTACATAAATATTCTCTCAGAATACAGAGGAAATAATAATCCTCCTGAGATCGATTCTAATGTTTTTATACATTCCAATGAATCTCAATTCTAACCCCATGAATTACGCAATTATGCTCATCAAATCGTACGTTAGATACTACATCTCACGCCAGTGCACAGATCGTAAAGCAACACAAACGGATTTGAGTTTCCGGGTCAGATCCGGATCCGAATCCAAATAACAACTTGGTTAATGATATATTCCTAGCATTCTTCCCACTTCGTCCTTTCCCCTGCTGCTGATACTGCTGCCGCTCCTGCTGCTCCAATATAACGGCGATGCAGCCGCTGTTGTGGGTTGTCGTCACCGTACTCCACCTCCTAGCTCTTGTAACACGGCCCGCGCTATCGGACCCGAGCGACGAGGCTTGCCTGTCCAACCTCCGGCGGTCGATGACGGACCCGGGCAACAGGCTGTGCAACTGGACGGCGGCTACTTTCGTGGCATCCTGCAACGGATTCACCTCCTACCTCCACGGCGTCACCTGCAACAACGGGCGCGTTTACAAGCTCGCCCTTCCCGGCCTCACCCTAGGCGGCTCCCTCTCCCCCTACCTCGCCAACTGCACTAACCTCCAGTCTCTCGACCTCTCCTCCAACGCCCTGACCGGCCCCATCCCCCCGCAGCTCTCCACCCTCCTCAACCTTGCCGTCCTCAACCTCTCCGCCAACCGCCTCTCCGGCACCATCCCCCCGCAGCTCGCCCTCTGCGCCTACCTCAACTTCATCGACCTCCACGCCAACCTCCTCTCCGGCACCATTCCCGCCCAGCTCGGCCTCCTCGCCCGCCTCTCCGCCTTCGACGTCTCCTACAACCGCCTCGAGGGCCCCATCCCCGCTCTGTTCGCCAACCGCTCCGACGACCTCGCACTCCCACGCTTCAACGCCAGCTCCTTCGTCGGCAACCGGGGACTGTACGGGTACCCCCTGCCCCCGGAAAGAGGCGGCAGGGGGCTGTCGGTGCCCGCCATCGTCGGGATCGGGCTCGGCAGTGGGCTCCTCAGCCTGGTGCTCAGCTTCACCGCCGTCTGCGTCTGGCTCCGCGCCACCGAGCGCACCACCAAGGCGCCCGGCGAGGAAGGGAAGGTCTCTCACCTCGACTACTGACCGGTTTCACCCCCTTCCTCCCCGTTCTGCCATGAATCCGCCGTAAAAATCGCATCTTTATCTTCCCATCCGCATCTACGAAGAGTAAAAAATGGGCTCCTATCTTGTTCCTTATTAGCTTTCCTTTCTATTTTCCTCCTCCACATCTATCTTTGGTTAACCACTTCTTAATTATTATTTCGGAGCAGGTTTAAGCTTCCATTGACATCCAACGCCAAAACAAAGGAAGGATTTAGACTAGGCACTCTTCTTGTCTTGGGAGGACAAGGTTTTGTTCCTTGGGGGTAGTGCTGGTTCCAATATCTTCCAATGACCTGAAAAAGAGCAGAGTTGAGAAAAGAACACTGATTGACTCATATTTTGAGTCTCAGCAAATGATGGTAGTCTGTTCCATGCTCTGCTTGGCTAGTGTTGGTTCCAATATGTTGCAGTGAGTGTATCAGATTCTCTTAGAAGTGGGAAGCTTTAACTGTGTTTTGATTTGAGCAGAGCATCTGTCTTTGGGCTTTAAACAAAGATATTAGCTGTTTAATTCTACGTGTTCTCTAGTTTTACTGTCGAGTGGAGGATACATTTTTTAGGTGTACATGAAAAATTGACATAAATTTATTGCGCCTTTTGTTCTGTCTGCAGGTTTTGTTAATTTCTAAGTAATTTCTATCAGATCTAAAATCTTTAGTAAAACCTTGTGAACGAATGAAATGAAGAAGATTTCTATGTTTGATATGGTGCTCTCTATTTATACACATAAGGAGGAAGGATTTTTCTTAATAGAGTAATGATATTTTCTCATGTAGTAGAAAAAATCTTAACTGTTATCATAGAAAATCTTAACTATTATTATGCCCTTGGTACTCCTGTCAAGGATCCCAATCTTAGATCAATAGGATGAAAATAGTTTATGAGCAAGAGACTTCTTGAGTGAGTCTACTAGTTGATCAGTCGTATTATCATGGACTTAGTTGGTTTTACTTAAGTCATGCAGCACCATTGTAAGTCTATTCGCAAAGGTCAACCTCCCCGAAACCTCCCATAGTCTCTTAGGATTTACAAAAGAGAAAATGGTTTAGAGAAAGCGCCTCACTCAGGATCAATAAGTAATCATTTCAGTAAACACTTCATAGCTAATGCAAATTACAAACAGATTTTACAAGCTTTGAATGGTTACACAACAAAGGATCCAAAATGGTCTATTACAAACTAAAATCTTACACAAGTATCCATATGACACAACATTTATTTACAAGCCTAAAAAGACCACCAAACCTAACTAAATTGAGACTATTAAGCCTTTGACCATCCCTCTACATGTTGCAATAGCATGAACAAACCAAAAGACACGGACATATATGAGTATTATATTAAACATCTTGTTTACGATTTTATCCGTGATAGTATGTACGTGAGAAACATGTCTAACAAATTGTTCTCGTACGAAGTGAAAGTCGATGGCTATGTGTTTCATGCATGAGTGAAATACTAGATTAACGTATAGGTAAGTAGCTCCAACATTATTATAATATATTATAGGAGTAGAGGTGGAGTTGATGTCAAAGTTCTTTGAGTAGATTCATGACCCAATTAAGTTTTGTAGCAACGTTTGCAATAGCACAGAATTCAGCTCCAATTGTAGATCGTGCAATTGTCTTTTGCTTCTTAGAACTTCAAATAATCGGATTAGCTCCAAAGAAGATAATATACCTTGACGTGAATATTTTGTCATCAAAGTTCCCTACCCAATTAGCATTAACAAAGGCATGGAGATGAAGAGGGGAGTATTTGGAAAAAAAGAGGCTATGATTGAAGGTCCCATGAAGATATCGTAAGATTCGTTTAACTACAGACCAATGCATAGTAGATGGCCGGTGCATGAATTATGATAATTTATTGACCATAAATGAGATATCTGGGCGGGTGAGAGATAAGTATTGTAATGAGCCAAGTACTTGTCAGTATTGAGTTGGGTCTATAGTAGGGCTTTCATCACATAGTTTGAGTGACTCGCTAGTAGATAGAGGAGTTGTAATCGCTTTTGCGTCTTGTATATTCATCTTTGATAATAGATCTTAAAGATACTTTCTTTATGATATGAAGAGTCCTGAAGATGTGTATGTTGCTTCCACTTCCAAAAAATAGCTCAAGGTTCCAAGATCTTTAAGGGAGAATCGATCTGCTAAATGCTTGAGGAATACCTTGATTTCCATAGGATTATTGCCCATGACAATAATATCATCAACATATACCAGAAGATATATTATATTATCACTTTGGTGATGGAGAAATAGTGAGGTATAAGACTTGGAGTTGATAAAGTCAATTGATATAAAAAACGAGCCAAGTTTAGTGTACCAAGCTCTTGGAGCTTGATGAAGTCCATAAATAGCTTTTTATAAATATGTCTTGGATATTGAGGGTGGATGAAGCCAAGAGGTTGCTGCATGAAGACATCTTCAGTTAGAGTCCCCTATAAAAAGATATTGTTAACATCGAGTTATTGTAAATACCAGTCTTTTGAGATGGCTAAACTCAGAATAAGTCAGATTATTGTGGGTTTAACAATAGGACTAAATATCTTTATGAAGTTAACACCAAGATGTTGATGAAACAATTTGGCCACTAGACATGCTTTATATTTAATAATGGATCAATCTGGGTTCCACTTAATTCGAAATACCTACTTATATTCGATGATATTTTGTGTGGGATGAGAGGGTACGAGGGTCCATGTAGAATTATGGAGGAGGGCATCATATTCTTCACACACGACTTTACACTAATATGAAGATTTTTGGGCTTAAGTAATTGTAGCAGGTTCATTGGTCTCTAACAAGGATTTTGTGATAGTATGTAGGTTAAGGACTTATCGTGGTTTAAATATATTATTTTTAGAGCATCTTATCATTGGATGTCCAGGGTCAAATCAAGGTTTAAAGATACTGGAGTCCCTTAGTGTCATTGGTCCCAGGAGAGGATCAAAATAGTGATTGTGTTTCCGAGGGCATTACTTCAGTAGTAAGGGAACCTTATAAAGAAGGGAGAGGAATAATGGAGGAGGTGAGGATCTGTTGAATCAGGAGAAGAAGAGAATGTGGATCCTGAGGAGTAAGACTAGATGATGTTATGGGAGACTCGGTTGACGAGATCGATGGTGTACTCTAGTGATGTATATTTGTTGGAGTAGGTCACACAGCAAGAGACTCAAAGTTTTGAAATGGAAAGGTAGTCTCTACAAAAATAACATGACGGGATGTAAAGACTTTTTGAGATTGAGGTTCGTAGCATCCAAAGACATTATGTTTAAGAGAGTATCTAATGAAAACGTAAGGCTTACATTTTGATTTTATTTTATGTGAGGTATAAGGATGAAGCCATGGATAATATAAACAACTAAACACTTTGAGTTTTTGAAGATTTAAGGATTTGTTAAATAGTTTTTCAAATGGTGACTTAGAGGACTAGAGTGAGCATATGATTAATAAGGTAGATGATAACTTGAAAAGCTACAATCCAAAAAGTTATTGGCATGGAGGCTTGATGTAGGAGTGTGAGATCAGTTTCAACTATATGTTAATGTTTGCGTTCAATAGAGCCAATGAGTTGAGGAGCATATGAGGGTGACTTAAGGTATTGTATACCATAAGCAGAGAGGCAGGATGTGAGGGCTTGATATTCGCCACCACTATCATAGTAAACTGTTTCAATTGTAGATTGAAAGAAGTTCTCGACCAACATTCTAAAGTTAGTAAAGATTGTTGAAATTTCAGATTTATGACAGAGAGGGTACAACCATATGTACTTGGTGAAATAGTCTACGAAAATAATATAAAATTTAAATTTGTCAAAAGAAGTGATTGGGGCAGGGCCCCAAACATCAATATAAATAAGTTCAAAAGGTTTATAACAGGATATGAAGGATATTCTAAAGGGGAGTTTATGATTTTTATTACTTAAACAAGCATTACAATGAGTTATAATGCAATTGGTTTTAAGTGTAAGAAAAGAATAATGAGAAACTAAATTTTGCTAGATAGAGGATGAGGGATGACCAAGACAATGATGCCATACATCAGTTGGAGCTGCAACGGAAGAGTAGGCAGTGAGCTAGGTAATTTATAGAACTAACGACCACTCGTAAATGTTGTCCTTACTCTGGCCTCGGACCAAAGATGCCCCTATGCTCAAATCCTTGACAAGAAAGGAGTTACGAAAGAATTGAATTGAGATATTATTTTATTTATAGAATTGAAAACTAGAAATGAGATTTCGTTTGATGTGGGGTGCACATAAAACATCATCGAGCATAAAAGTTGTGCTATGTGAATTAAGCATTGTGGAACCAGTATGAGTAATGGAAAGTCCGTTATCATCACCGACGATGATCTTTTTATTTTCGCCATAGTTGTTGTGGATGGACAAGTTATGTATATCAGAGGTAATGTGATGAGATGCACTAGAGTCCACAATCTAATTCTGTTTACTAGTATTCGGAGTAGTTGTAAGATTTGCGTAAGGCTAATGTGATGGAGGAGGAAGTCTAAGTCGAGTTCTATAGACTTTTACAAAGTGGTCAACTTTATCACATAGTTGGTAGACAACTCTTTATTGATTTGTGTGATCAGGATGCCAGGGCTAAAGATAATTATAGTAGTCGCCTTGATGAATGTGGTTGAAATGTTGATGAGGTGGAGAAGGAGAGGTTTATTTAGAGCCCATAAATTCAGGATGCATGCTGGCCAAACCTTTATTAATGGTTTTGTTATACCAGTTGCTCTTCTTTTTTTACTTTTGACTGATTTGAGCTATGTTGATGGTCCTAGCAATTTGTCCTTATGCTTGAGATATATCTTATAGTCAGTTAACTTGTCATAGAGTTCTTCAAATAATATCAGTGAATCACGTGCTCGTATTACTATTGTCAGTTCCTTATACTCATCCTTGAGGCCATTAAGTGTGTGGATAATAACTTCTTCATCACTAAGATTATGATCTATCAGGGCTAAGTTATCGATGATAACTTTTATATTTTGTAGATAGTCAGCAATAGTGCTTCCCTCTTATTTTGCTTGTATGAGACTAGATAGGAGACTAAGTAAGCGAGTATACAAACGATTTGCCAATGTGGTTTGCTGCTTGCACCAGGCTTCAACAGCAATGTCACATGAAGATATGAGTGGGGTAAGGGATCTAGCGATTGAAGCTTGAATTGCTTGAAGGATAAAACAATCTTACGTAACCATAGTTTATGGTCTGGATTTGGTACTGG